TGCCACGTCATGGTAACCGTCGTCGTTTTGTATCAACGTATCAATCAACCGCCGAAGCCGCGGGCGATCTGCTGGGCGCCAAGCCGCGCAAACTCGGTGCCCACATCCGTGGCATAGCGATGGAACACCGCTGCCTTCTTGGCGTCCGGCGTCGTCGAGAGGTCGCAGCCCCAATAGCGCGCTTCGTCGTCGAGCGAGACGTACCCATGGGCTGTAAAGTAATGCGACGTGGTGTAGAGCACACGGAGGCGCGTCATCGCGGGCCCGAGGCGGTCGAGGACGAACCAAAAGTTGCGGTTGCATTGGCGCTGGCTCTTGGGCAAGAGCTCGTCCTCATGGATGTTTTGGCCCACAAACGTGACCCGGTTATGAGAAGGGAACTCGCGCGTGAGGTAGTAGATGGACTCGTCTTTCGAGAGCACGTTGCGGGTGTAGCGCATCCGATCGGTCGGTTCTTGCAGCAGCTACTCGGTAGAGAGGCTTTCAGCGTGCCGTGATGCATATCACGAATACCTCCATGTCGAGCGGCTCGGCGACTTTTTCTTGCATCTCGCGCCCTTCATAGTCCCAGAGCGCGCCAATCAGAAACGAGACGACGTTGTCTCGGATCGCCGGCACGACGTACTCGATCGGGATCGGAAGGTCCTGCTGGCAGCGCAGCACATACTGCAAGCACTCGGCGTCGGCCGTGTCGACGTAAAAGTCGAGCACCGACTGCGGCGCTCGCGGCGACGGAAAGCCAAACGTCTCGAGCATCTTGTCCGTGTGAAAATGCACGTTCTTCGTGATCCAGTCAAAGCCCAACTTGCGCGACGTGGCATTGCTGACCAGTGTAACGTTGCGCCACGTTGGTCGAAGCGATGGCGGCGTCTAGGACCGAGCATGCCGCCTGCGAACCTGTGCACGTACATACCTGGATCCCTTTTTGGATGGCAATCCATTTGGTCATGGCGGTGACGATATCTAGATACGCCTTGCGCTTGGCCTGCAGCATCGTCGTCGAGCGGCGCGCAATGACCACGTCGTCGTGGAGGCCTAATGCGACGTCTTTCCAGCTCAGGCGCTGCTTCTTCGCGGTCAAGCGCGCGACGTGGCGCTCGAGGATAGCCGCTTCGGCCTGCAGCGCCTCGATCTCGGACACGATCTTCTGCCGGTACGCGCGCTGCTTGTAGCGTATGTAGAGCCGCTTCCGCAGCACCGGGTCCAGCGTCGGCTCGGGCATTGGACGCGACCGACTCGCACGCACGCCACTCCCTGTCTGCGGGAAACACCTACATTCGGCGACCTACATTCCGTCGGCCTGTCAGACGCTGCCACGTACTCCAGCACGTACTCAGTGCGCAGCGAGCGAGCGACTGGGCGAAGTCCGCGGGAAGAACTGGCACCACGCCGCGCCGCGAGACCAAGCAAAGACGGGCGTCGGACCTTGGACTGGGCGGCTGCGCGACTCAGATCTGGGTGGATCTTGCCAGATGCCAGATCTGAATCGATCGCAGCCCAGCAGCGCCAAGAACGCGACGTGCCGGGTCGTCAATGAGCTCCAATTTTTGTGGCTTGCGCTTCGGCTCGCGTCTCGCTGCGCGTGAAATTTCTGCCCACGCGACCCGTGCATGATCACGTGCGGGGCCCGAAAACCTCTATAAACAGATGTCATCGCGGTCAACCGGAACGACTGGCGGCAGTGTATGTCTTTTCAGAGGGAGCTGCCATTTGCGATTGGGTTTGGAAACATGGAAATGGAACCGACGGGGTCAGTTGACATGCGGTATGTGAAGGCGACAAGCAGCGGCGCCGAGCTGGAGGTCAAGGAGACGGCTACCGCTGACGTCCAGGAGAGCGACTCGGGCGCGCCGGAGCAGGTCAACGACTACACGATCGGCGCGCTCCTCGGCGAAGGCGCGTACTCCAAGGTGTACCTGTGCGAGAAGACGGCGGGGGGCGTCACGACGCAATATGTACGACCGCTCTGCTTGCATGTGCTTTACATCCGCGCAGGCCATGAAGATCCTCAACAAGTCGTTCCTAAAGCGCAAGCGCGAGTTCAAGAAGGTCGACGGACGCATGGTTGCGTCCAACGCCTTCCAAAAGGTGCAAAAGGAGATTGCGATCATGAAGAAGCTGCGCCATCCCAACCTCACGCATCTGCACGAAGTACATGCCTATCAGGCGTATTGATGCATCCATGTGCCAACGCGTCGTGTAGGTGATTGACGCCGAGACCCAAGACAAGATGTTCCTCGTGCTTGAGCTTGTCACCGGTGGCCAGGTCATGGACTGGGACCCGACGACCATGCGCTACAAGTACATTGGCTCGCAAGGCCAAGCGCCGATGGCGATTGTCCAAGCATGCGTCGTGGACATGGCTCTGGCGCTCGAATACTGTACAATGCCATGCCCGTCTTCTCGCTTGACACCGAACGATGCGTAGTGCACTTGAACCAAATTTGCCACCGCGATATCAAGCCCGAGGTAGACTTCCATTCGCTGCGACGATGCTGGCTGAGCATGCGCGTAGAACGTTCTCATGACGAACGACAAGACGAGCTACAAGCTCAGCGACTTTGGCGTTGCGCACATGTTTACCGACGACGACATGGCGACGGAGCTCAAGAACACGGAGGGCACGTATCACTACCTCGCCCCCGAGTGCACGGTCGGTGCGGCCTTCGACCCGTTCAAGGTCGACGTGTGGGCTCTCGGCGTCACGGCGTATGCGATGCTGCACGGAACGCTGCCGTTTGGGGCTACGAAGGAGCACCTTGAGGGCGGCGCCCTCGCCATTATGCAGTCGATTCGTGAAGATCCCCTTGTGCTGCCCTCCACCGGCAGCGACCCGCTCTGCGACGAAGTCCTCACGCGCCTCTTGGACAAGGACCCGTCGACGCGCATTTCGCTCTCGGAGCTGCTACAGCATCCGTGGCTCGCGGCGGCGGTGCACCACGAGCGCGCGTCCATCGTCGAGGTGTCGCCGGAAGAAATCAGCCTCGCGTTCACGCCCGTTAACAACTTTATCCTCATGGTATTCTTATACCTGGACACATGGGATTTTTGCGATGGTTTATGGTTGATGTATATGATAGACGAAGCTCAAGATCAAGTTTGGCGCCAAGCTCATGAAGGCGCGACGCACGTTGCGCGAAGAGAGCTCGCGGAGCAGCTCAATTGAATTGCCGTCGCCGAATGGCATGGATGAAGTGCCCGCCAGCATGGAGCCGTCGGCAAAGCCCATCGACGCTCTGCCACCGCCGATCAACCTCTCGTTTGGTCTCTCGCTCGAAGATCGCTCGGACAGCGTCCGGGCCTCGACGCAGAGTGAGCCCCACGTTCTCCCAGACGAGCCGCTGCGCTCGTCGCTCCATAGCGCACCGGCGGCTCCTACCCACGGCGCGACGACGCCGCCCAAGCGTATGCGCAGCTTTGGCGACCGGCTGTTTCAGCGCCAGAGCCCCAACGTCCCGGACGGCAAGAAGCAAAAGGACTGCACGTGCATGTAAAACACCAGCAGATGCGTGTATTATGTATACATTAAAAACGCGAAAAAGCCAATAAGGAGCTCTTTTGTCGACATCTTGTATCGAAAACACAAAGCTTTTTCGTTGCTTTTGGGGTCGACTGCGGAGTAGTTTCTCTCTGAAACCCTAACCCTGATGCTTGTAACTGACATAAAATCTTAGTTATCGACTGTAGAAAGGCAGGGTGGTAGGAGTACCCGGTACTGGTACTGGTATACTTAGTTGTACCCGTCCGCCCATTTGCAGCGGAAGCGACAACAGCCGCAAAGACAGCTTGGTCTCTGCTATGACGCGCAGGGCATCATATCATGGGCACCACGCGTCCTGAGGGCTCCTGAACAATAGAATGGTGGCAAGGTCGTCGTCGAGCGGACAGCGTAGCGTCGTCATCGGGTAGCCAGTCGCGGTGCGTGGGACGGCATGAAAGAAGAGCAACGACGCATCTCGCACCACCATCATTGACACGGCACGGGCCACAAGAACCGTCTAGGTGTAGTTCCATCGGGCGCAGAAGAGGTTGATGCAAGGCTCAGGTGCTTGCGCGATCAGGCGCCACCAACTATTATAATAAATAAGATCTTAGTACTTCTCCATCGTGTTAACGTTGTCATGTGGCACCGAACGTTCTGTGGCGCCAGCGCGAACGTTCGTGAAAAGCCGGTGAGTCTCCGGATAATGTATCCGGCATTTGCAATATTCACTTGACCAGCACTCTCGATAGCCATGGTATAGAGTCAGCAAGTGTAGAGCTGCCGCAGACCATCACTCGTGAAATGGCCCAACTGAATCGAGCCAGAGGCGGCGGCTGTCCCGACCACTTTTCAACATGCTCAGTACAAGCTCCATGAGTAGCACGAGTAGCACGAGCTGCCTCCTCCGGAAGCTCCACCGCGTCCTGAGCCAAGAGAGCCCAAGCATCGTCGCATGGAGCGACTGCGGAAAGCACGTTGCCGTGCACGACGCGCCTCGCTTCGAGGCCAACATCGTGCCCACGTATTTTCGCCTCCGGACGCTTTGCGAGTTCCGCGCGCTTCTGTGTCAGCACGGCTTTGACTGCAGTGACGAATTGAGCTTCAGCCACAGCGACCTCTCCCGCGACTGCCCCATGCCGTTCGCGCCCAAGAAACGAGCGAGCGGCAAGGTCCTCTCCAAGGCCACAAAGACGCGCCACCACCCCTACGGTACATGCACCACGACCACGACAGCGTCCCGGGGCGGCGACGAACTCTGGTCGGCGCTGGCTGCCGTCTGTCTGCAATCATCCGAAACGAGCCATACAGCGACCAACCCGCTCTTTCAGAAGCACACCAGCTTCGAGACGCAGCCCGACGCGTGGCAATTGCTCAACGGCCATTCGGTCGTCTGCGTCTAAGGCGACGTCGCCACCTTGCTTGTAGTCTGTCCCGTACTGTCCAATGTCCCGATTTGAGAACCCTGCTATTTAACACGAGATTTCCCTTGATATCGAAAAGCAGCATCGACCCATTCTGGGGAGCACCACAGAGGATTGTGCGAGAAGGACGCAAGCACCATGGCAGCGTAAGCACTGTAATCAACACTTGTGCTGGATTCTTTGATTGGCAGACAATGTGAATAAAACCAAGTGGGATTTCATGACCAGTGCTATAACGCTGATACTAGGGGCGAGAAGACGTTACCCGCAATGAGTCGCCGCTTCTCCAAGCTCCAACCTCTTCTCCAAGCTAACGAAGTAGAAGCCAGCAAATCAAGTCGCCGATACCCGAATGCTGGTCAACACCATTTTTGGACCAATCACGTGCGCCTCCGTCTGACCATCATTCTGTTGGTCGCAAGGGCCTTGTTATCCGGAACGTGCCGGATACCGTGCCAAGGCTGGCATGGTGCCATTGCCAGACTTCCTGAGGATGGCGGGCAGCAACATCGCGAGCGGCTTCGTGCGCAAGCTGTACTTGCTCCTGGACCACGAGAGCCCCGAGATCATTGCGTGGAACGAGGATGGCACCAAGTTCTCGATCCTCGACCGCGAGCGGCTCGATGCGACCGTCCTGCCCAAGTACTTTCGCGGGAAGCTCGCGGCCTTCCACCAGCAGCTGCTCGATCATGGCTTCCACTGGGAAAGCGAGGCGAACGATGTCGAGACGTATACGCATGCGAGCTTTGTGCGTGGTGTGCCAGGCTTGCTCGACATGATCGTGCGCACGCCGCAGCCCAAGTGCAAGACCTTCCCCAAGCTCAAGAGGGCCAAGAAGGAGCGCCGGAAGCAGCTCGAGCCGTACGCAAAAAAGGCGCCGCCGCCGCCATCGAGCCTCCAGGTCGAGCCGGGCAGCCACGAAGAGCTCGTGTGGAAAGCGATCAACCACTTTATGTACTCGACGGACAAGAGCCCGCTCTTCGCGTCGGCCGCGAACGCGACGCTCCTCGAGACGCCAGGCTTTACGCCGTCGATGGTGCAGCTCGTGCCCGATCCGATTCCGCCCGTCGTCAAGGGCGTCAACCCTCTCTTCCAGACAACGACCACGACGCCCAACCCGCTCTTCCAGACAACGCCCAAGAACCCTCTTTTCGACACGGCGCCAGCAAAAAACCCTCTTTTTGAAAAGTCGCCGAGTGGAAACCCGCTTTTTGACAAGACGCCGAGCACAAACCCCCTTTTTCAAACCTCGTCGCCGTCCAAGAACCCCCTTTTTCAAAAGTCGTCGTCGACCTCGAGCAATCCACTCTTCCAAAAGTCAACAAGCACCGCCAGCAGCAGCAGTAGCAGCGGCAGCAGCCGACCGGCCGCGACGAACCCGCTCTTCGCCGCCAGCCCGCTCTTCGGCGCGCCCAAGCCAGCGGCCGCTGCGCCTGCATCGTTGTTTGCGACGCCGGCGCTCTTCCAGACGACGGCGACCGCCGGGCCAGGTAACGAGTGGCAGCACCTGGTGTCGTCTTCCGTCGACCGCTTCATGCAGAGCACGGACAAGTTCTCGTCGGCCGAAGATACCTTCAAGTTTATCATGGAAGAGCGGTCGCGCATTGCGACCGAGAAGGAGAAGCTCGAGGCGGCACCGGACGAGCTCTTTCCGAACCTTGGGAATGCGCCGGACGCGCTCTTGACATTTCTCATGGGCTCGTCCGTCGACTTGCTCCAGCGCAGCGTCGACACGTTTGAGCATCACCTGACGCAGCTCGACATGAGCGACTCGCACGACGACGACGATGACGACGACTTTGATCTTGTGGACGACGAGACGTCGTAGCGTCCCAAGTCCAGTTATAACAATAGAACACCTTTTTCATGGATTCCATTACAAGGATGCGGTCTTGTGGAGACGGCGGCGAAAGAGGTCAAAGATCATGCTGTACACGAGGCTCGTGAGCTGCGGGTCGAAGCGGTCGCCCTCGTCGCGCATGAACGCGTGCGGGCCGTTGACCTCGTGCCACGTAAAGTTCTTGGCCGCTGCGTTGAGCTTGTCGTAAATGTGCGTGCGACCGGCTTGCGGCACGTGCGGGTCCTGGCGCCCAAATACAAACATGAGCTCGCCGGTGATGAGCGCGAGGCGCGCCGGGTCCATGCTGTGTGTGCCGGGCGTCGACGGAATGACCTGCGTGTGGAGGTCCGTCGCGTACATGCACGCAGTCGCGAGCACATCGGGCTGCTGTGCCGCGCGGAAGGCCAAGTGACCGCCGAGGCAAAAGCCCATCGAGCCGAACGCGCCGCTGCACCACGGCTGCGTCTTGGCCCACGCGATCGCCGCCGCATTGTCGCTGTCGTACGTGGTCACAAGCTTGGCGCTCTTGTCTGCGTTGCCCTTGTCCTTGCCAGCGTCGTCGTACGCGAGAATCGTGCCAATCGGGTTGAGCTCGTGGAACACTTCCTGCACGAGCACGACGTAGCCATGGCCCGCGACGTAGCGCGCCGTGCGCTCGATGGGCCCGGTCTGCTGGAAGATCTCGGAGAAGAGGAGGATCGTCGGGTACCGCGTCGACGCGTCCGTCGGGCGATGGACATACGTCCGCATGACGCCCGTCGGCGTCGGCAGGTCCACGTGTTCGCTCACAATCATCATTTTTTCAAATGGACGATGGCCAGCGCCCGCCGACGCTGATTGGCCAATGTTGCGATCTTGGGGGGTCGTACAAATCTGGACGACCCGACGTACATGGACAACACCGTCAGAAAGGCTCCTCTGCCATGCTTGTAGCTTTCCTCTCTCTCGTCTATTTTGTGAACGACTCCGTGTACCCGAGACCAATATGTGTGACCTTGCTGTACGATCCACTGTACTACCAAGACACTGTTCACATTCTGCATTCCAAAATTCATGCCACCAGAAATGCTACACCGTGGTGGCGCGGCGGGCGCGGAACCGCCGCTGGAGCGTGTTGGCGACGCGGTGCATGGCAGCCTGGTTGATCAAGACGAAGATCTTATCGTCGGCGTGGACGATCGCGTCGGCGTACGGCGCCGTGTAGACGTAATC